TTTGTGGACTTTTGTGGAACTTTCTGGCTCGGGCGCCATAGACCTCCATTATTTGAATGTCAGCAGACAGCAAGAAGCCTCCCAGATCTCCAGATGCATTTGAGATATCAAAAAAGTACTCCAGAGTTTTGTTCAGCATGGGGGTGAGTAGAAAATGAAGGCTAATCATGTTTTGGGTGTACTATTCCTTTAAACACAGTTTAAAAAGCATTAACTGATGTTCGGATGTTTAATATTAATGCTCTTTGACAGATAGGTAAACAAGCACAGTTTAGGATTACATAAAGTAATTTAACTATTTAAAATAAAAAATAAATAACAGGAGTGTCTGACTTAATTAATAATTTGTGTTGTGTGTCAATGTAAGTTGGATAAACTAATAACTGAAAAATACAGACCTTAAGTATATTATCACAGATCCTTCCCCCCAGCAGCTGGAAGACTTTATAACCATCACTGTTCCAAACAACCTCAATAAGTTGTTACATTTATGCTCATTTCTATATATCAATGGTAGGCAATATTAAGCTCTATCCTTGAACTGTTGTTTCCCTAATAATAGATACCCTTGAGCTATAAATAATCCAACTTTATTGCTATGATTTTTTTGTTCTGTGTTTTATCAAACAAGTATCTCTAATTTTTAAATTCTAACATATAAAGATCACGTAATGTTATCTGCAGCTGTCAATGGTGACGTAAGAGCAATTAAATAACTAATTAATTACATTATTGTCTTTGGCCTATGGAAGGGAGCCACAGTACCCCAAGAAAACCCATACATTGGGAAAACATTCAAACTCTTTGAAGAAAGGTCTCGGAATAGATAGCTAAAAAAGGATATATGAAAGGAGCAGTACCAACGTGAGACTTTAAATTCAAAACAAATGTTTAAAAAAACCCAGAATGTATGCAGAATGCAGAAGAGGGTATGAGATGAGCTCATACTGCAAAGAATCTGTTTTATCTTTGCTTGTAGAGGTTTTTGTGTGTGCAAACAGACCACAGCTTAACTGTTCTCGGATCACAGGGAGCTAACAATGTCAGCCGTACAAATGACTCAGACTGACCCAACTTTCTGACCTGATGTTTCGATGTGTAAGCATATGTTTGCAAACAGGCTATTTGTGTGTGCCTTTGAAGATCACAGCTATGCCAAAAATAATGTCCCACTGCATCACATGTGTGGCACAGTACCGTAAGGGTGCACTGATTCATCCACATTGGTGCATGTATTGTGTATTCCTGCAGCATAATAAATAAAGATGGAGGGAGGTATGAAGTGCCTCATGAGTTAAAAAATGTGCAGGTGGAGCACAGCTGGGTAAGGGGCACATTAAGGAATCATGAATTAATTTGGTCTTTTCTATGCTGTGGTTTTATATAAGGCATCCACTACAAATATTATTTTAAGTTTGAAGAACACAACAATTTACAAAGATTTTAGGTCAAATGTAAAGCACATTGAAAGTCACATTTAAAGATTGAAATTTACTAGTCGCTGAAATCTACTGATAAATTTAACTGTTGTTCCACCTCTCACATATTTAAATAGAGTTGTTTGATTATTGTTTGATCAGCAGACAACACCTCTGTTAAAGAGGTCAGACCTAGAGAACAATGAAAGCATTATAATCAAGATGTTAAGTATGAGGGTTAACTAGCAGAACAAGTAGAAGTGTGCTGCAGTTCTGTGTTTCATTAGAAAACTGTAAGGCCTCTTTAAATAAATTAAGACAATGCAAATTCCAATCCATCCATCCATCCATTATTTGACAAGCTTGTCCCAATTGGGGTCGCAAGGGGTGCTGGTGCCTATCTCCAGCTGTCAATGGGCGAGAGGCGATTCCACCCTGGACAGGTCCAGTCCATCGAAGGGCAACACAGAGACAAACAGGACATACAACCATTCACACACACACTCACACCTAAGAACAATCTAGAGAAGCCAATTAACCTAACAGTCATGTTTTTGGACTGTGGGAGGAAGCAAATTCCAATATAAGTGGATATAGTAATTCATAATACATCTTTTGCAAGGCGTTTCAATTTCAAATATTTTAAGGTTAGGGTTGCATACAAATTAACAAGAAAGTATTATACACTAAAAATGAACAAATAAAAAAAAAGGCACACATTTGTATAGAAAGGAAATTATAGAAGAAATGGCACACAAAACTGAACCGGACCGTGCCAGACACAACCAAACCGTGTTTAACTGGTACTAGTTCATTAGCAGGGCTCGGCTCATTTGAGTTCTGGCTCATTTATCAGATAACAAAGAGCGTATGAGCAGACATTCATAAGAATACTGACCTCCCTACGGTGCCACACAGTGATGATTCTGCTTAGCAGTGTGATGAACCTCAACGTATGTCGTTTCCTGCCTGTAAGCCCCTGATTAGACTAATGTTATTGTCATATCCACTTCCCAAAAGCTGACTCTGTCAAGTAAATTCACCAAAGGCTGCCTCCTTCGCCTGACTCTCTGCAGGTTAACTGATCCAAGCTCGGTCCAAAGTCAGCACAGATCGGTTTTTAGAGCGTAGTGTAAATGGGGTCATTGTATGGCATCCGGGGACTAGTGTGGGGTTAAGGGTCCTGCTCTGGGACCCAGAATGCAGGCTGTGGGGAACGAACTGGGTATTTGCAGTCTTCTCAGAGCAAAAACGCACTGCTCTAACCACTAGGCCAACACTGGCCTATAAATGAAAATTTTTAATTTAAATGAATTGCAAGGAAAAATTATGCAATGAGAAAGTTTAGA